AGAATAGATTTCATATACACTCACCTAAAGGATTATTAGGAACACCATACTAATACTGTGTTTGACCCCCTTTCACCTTCAGAACTGCCTTAGTTCTATGTGCCATTGATTCAACAAGGTGCTGAAAGCATTCTTTAGAAATGTTGGCCCATATTGATAGGATAGCATCTTGCAGTTGATGGAGATTTGTGGGATGCACATCCAGGGCACGAAGCTCCCGTTCCACCACATCCCAAAGATGCTCTATTGGGTTGAGATCTGGTGACTGTGGGGGCCATTTTAGTACAGTGAACTCATTGTCATGTTCAAGAAACCAATTTGAAATGATTCGAGCTTTGTGACATGGTGCATTATCCTGCTGGAAGTAGCCATCAGAGAACGGGTACATGGTGGCCATAAAGGGATGGACATGGTCAGAAACAATGCTCCGGTAGGCCGTGGCATTTAAACGATGCCCAATTAGCACTAAGGGGCCTAAAGTGTGCCAAGAAAACATCCCCCACACCATTACACCACCACCACCAGCCTGCACAGTGGTAACAAGGCATGATGGATCCATGTTCTCATTCTGTTTACGCCAAATTCTGACTCTACCATCTGAATGTCTCAACAGAAATCGAGACTCATCAGACCAGGCAACATTTTTCCAGTCTTCAACTGTCCAATTTTGGCGAGCTCTTGCAAATAGTAGCCTCTTTTTCCTATTTGTAGTGGAGATGAGTGGTACCCGGTGGGGTCTTCTGCTGTTGTAGCCCATCCGCCTCAAGGTTGTGCGTGTTGTCGCTTCACAAATGCTTTGCTGCATACCTCGGTTGTAACGAGTGGTTATTTCAGTCAAAGTTGCTCTTCTATCAGCTTGAATCAGTCGGCCCATTCTCCTCTGACCTCTAGCATCAACAAGGCATTTTCGCCCACAGGACTGCCGCATACTGGATGTTTTTCCCTTTTCACACCATTCTTTGTAAACCCTAGAAATGGTTGTGCGTGAAAATCCCAGTAACTGAGCAGATTGTGAAATACTCGGACCGGCCCGTCTGGCACCAACAACCATGCCACGCTCAAAATTGCTTAAATCCCCTTTCTTTCCCATTCTGACATTCAGTTTGGAGTTCAGGAGATTGTCTTGACCAGGACCACACCCCTAAATTTATTGAAGCAACTGCCATGTGATTGGTTGATTAGATAATTGCATTAATGAGAAATTGAACAGGTGTTCCTAATAATCCTTTAGGTGAGTGTATTTTGACTGGATGGAATCACGGACGATGGTTTACAATGGCGATAAGCCATTCACACAAGCCAAAGTTGAGTAATTTAGCGCTTAAAGTAAAAAAAAAATGAATGACAAATGAGGGAAAAAGACAATGATCCAGAAATATACTTCCTATTGAAATACATTAGATTGAAAGTCGTGCTGAGTGACACGAATCAATACTTTGTCACGAACTGCAGTTAGACTAGGTTGCATGTATTGATATGAAACAGCTTCACAAACAGTCTTTTCAACCACACAATATCACTATTTACAATAAATCAAATTATCACAGAAATATTGGGATAACAGTTTATAGTTCAGATATGAACACTGATGTCCACAGTAGTGATCAAAACAGAGGAAATCACCTTCTGAAAGTAGTAAAGATTGTATCATTACATCGTTACACCAGTAGATGGAGACAAGTGACTGTTAAACATGTGTCTGTCATTGAATCATTCACTCAAGAGATTTGTTCAAAAACGCTGAATCATCCAGTAACGAGTCTTTAAGAATGAGTCATTGAATCATTCATTCCAGAGATTCGTTCAAAAACGCTGAATCATCCAGTAACAAGTCTTTAAGAATGAGTCATTGAATCATTCACTCAAGAGATTCGTTCAAAAACGCTGAATCATCCAGTAACGAGTCTTTAAGAATGAGTCATTGAATCATTCATTCCAGAGATTCGTTCAAAAACGCTGAATCATTTAGTAACGAGTCTTTAAGAATGAGTCATTGAATCATTAATTCCAGAGATTCGTTAGAAAACGATGAATCATCCATTAACGAGTCTTTAAGAATGAGTCATTGAATCATTCACTCAAGAGATTCGTTCAAAAACGCTGAATTATCCAGTAACGAGTCTTTAAGAATGAGTCATTGAATCATTCACTCAAACCAGGTTTTAAAGTCAATTCATTCAAATCAATTAAACATTTTTAAACAGACTGCAGCAATTAACATTTAATCAGAACCTCTAGTAAATGACACGTTATTTTGTTTATTCTGTTCAGAATCTCTATTAAAAAAAAAAAAAAAAAAGGTGATTCTCAGTTTATCCAGAATCGTGCAGTTCTACATCCCAGCTAACAATATATGTTCTAAGTATGTTTTGCTAACATATCCATTAATCTCTAAAAAAAACATTATTTTTTTAGAATGTTTAACTGTGAGTGTTACGGGAACATTCCATTTGATAATTCTACAAACATTTTGGGAACATTTTAGAATGTTCAGAGAACGTTCAAAAGTAACATAAAAAAAAAAAACATTCGATTCGAAAAATAACATTCCATGAATGCTGTATAAATAATGTTTTTTTGCCAACACATTATTAAACACCAGATAATATTCTTCATAACTCTCCAGAACATTAGATAATAACTCTGAGAACATCGGCTGTTAGCTGGGCTATATCTGAACACAAGATGAGATGCATATGACTGATGCGTAATCATGTTTTCCAGGAAATCCTGCCGTTTGACATCTCATGTACTCGACTGACATATGAATCATAAAAGCACAAACACGCTGAGAGGGCAAACTACGCCTCCAGGTACCTTGATCTTTATTTAGAAGGATTATCTGGCGAATGAGAACTTACATATTGCATAAAATTAATGAATAATTATTATTATTATTATATCTCCTCCTCGTGAACACACACTGGCTCTATTTCCCTAAACAGAAACATGAGACGATCTGAAGAGCTTTGACATCTGATATCCAGATATTGCATGTAAAACTGTATTTGCAGTGTTCAGAGAACTCTATACCTGAGGGAATCAAAGACTGGCGGATTTAGTCACAAGTAAACTTGCTTTAAAATGAAAAGGCATCATATGCTTGGATTAGTTTTTTGCAGTGGATCTCAATGGCCAGCAGGAGGCGCCGCACCATCTCCTATGATTTGGTCAGATTTGGTCGATGTTTTTGCTTTAATTATCATTTAAAAGGCTTTGTATATGATTTGTATAGACTAACAAAAGACCCACACACACACCAAACCCAGACGGCGCACGTACGTTTTCATCCGGACAACGACATTCGCCATGAAGTAATACACACATGTGACGTTTAAAGCAACATGCGTGCGCCGTCTGGGAAGCAAACGCACACACAATCACGCACACATACGCATTCTTACCATTAATTACTCTTATTCTTAATATCTACTGAGATTCACTGAATTGTAAACAGAAAATACTTAAAGACAAAGTCATAATATCTACTGTAGTCTTATTCTAGAACTATAAAATTAATGTCAATACTGTCATCTCTACTTTTTAGCCAAATATAAGAGCTGTTATGCAAATCAGATCAAATATATATAAACTACAACCAGAGTAGAAACTAAAGCCTGCACGTACAGTGCTATACATTTATATATATATATATATTTATATATATATTCCCATTTACATAGAGCTATATAATCTTCTTTACTGTAGTAATCCAATAACAAAAAGTACCGTAATTACATAAATAATACAAGAAGTGCTATCAAATATTGAAAACTAAAAAAAAGCCAACAGAATAAAGATGGGGACATATAGGCCTACCCTTAAAGGCACAGTTCACCCAAACATGAAGATTAACCCGTGATTTACTCAAGCCATCCTAGGTGTATATGACATTCTCCTTTCAGACGAACACAATCAGTTATTTTGGGTATAAAAAAAAAGGATGTTTTTGTTACACGAACGCATCACTTCAGAAGGCCTTTATTGACCCGCCAGAGCCTGTGGAGCACTTTATGATGATAGATGCACTTTTATGATGATTGATGCACTTTATGATGGATAGATGCACTTTTATGATGATAGATGCACTTTTATGATGGATAGATGCCCTTTTATGATGGATAGATGCACTTTTATGATGATAGATGCACTTTTATGATGGATAGATGCACTTTTATGATGGATAGAGAGATGCACTTTTATGATGGATAGATGCACTTTTATGATGGATAGAGAGATGCACTTTTATGATGGATAGATGCACTTTTATGATGATAGATGCACTTTTATGATGGATAGATGCACTTTTATGATGATAGATGCACTTTTATGATGGATAGATGCACTTTTAGGATGGATAGATGCACTTTAATGATGGATAGATGCACTTTATGATGGATAGATGCACTTTTATGATGGATAGATGTACTTTTATGATGGATAGATGCACTTTTATGATGGATAGATGCACTTTTATGATGGATAGATGCAGATGTACTTTTATGATGGATAGATGCACTTTATGATGGATAGATGCACTTTTATGATGGATAGATGCACTTTTATGATGGATAGATGCACTTTATGATGGATAGATGCACTTTTATGATGGATAGATGTACTTTTATGATGGATAGATGCACTTTTATGATGGATAGATGCACTTTTATGATGGATAGATGCAGATGTACTTTTATGATGGATAGATGCACTTTATGATGGATAGATGCACTTATGATGGATAGATGCACTTTTATGATGGATAGATGCACTTTTATCATGGATGGATAGATGCACTTTTATGATGGATAGATGCACTTTTATGATGGATAGATGCACTTTTATCATGGATGGATAGATGCACTTTTATGATGGACAGATGCACTTTTATTCTCTTCAAAACAGAAACAGCCATTCACTGTCATTATAAAGCTTGGAAGAGCCAGGACATTTTTTAATATAAGTCCAATTGTATTTGTCTGAAAGAAGAATGTCATATACACCTAGGATGACTTAAGGGTGAGTAAATCACGGGCTAATTTTCATTTTTGGGTGAACTGTCTCTTTAATACATCAGAAGAAAAGGTCCATTAGGGGGCGCCGTTCACAGCGCAGTCTCTTTAAGGTCATTCAGGTTTGGCAAACGCGAGCGAAAGTGTCGAGCGAAGCCCGGTTTGGAGGTGAGCTGCTCGGGATACGGGTTTCCCTCGGGACGGCCCAGAGCGCTGGAGTGCCAGCCGGACTCCAGGGGCCCCGGGGCCGACGCGTACGAGGCCTGCCGACTCTTGGCCTGCATGAAGCTCCCGGGTTTAGAGGAGGACTGAGGAGGGTAGTGGAGATCTGCTGAGGTCTGGTTGGAGGAGGAGGAGGAGGAGGTGGTGAGATGAAGAAGCTTCCGCAACGACCTCAGAGGCTGAGACAAAACACACTTATTACTGATTACAGGCATTTATTCAGTTGTTTAAGAGCTATGTTATATGTCATTTATTTATATGTCATTTATACATTTAATCTGATACATATATCTGATACATATATACACTATTATCTGATTCTACATTGTTGCTCTTATATTTGGCTTTATATATAACATGTCATTTTCATAAAAGACTAAATCTTTATATATATATATATATGTGTGTGTGTGTGTAATTTAATTTAATAATTTATAGAATTTATATATAATTTATAATTATTCCTATATTTATATAATTTACATAATTTATTTATATGTAATTTAATGCACAATTTATAAAAATCAAAAACTGAATGTTTTTAGATTTAATTTATAAAAAAATGAAAACTGAATGTTTTTATATAATTTATATATAACTTATTTCTATGTAATTTAATGCAAAAAAATAAAAAAACGGAATTTAATTACATTTATTTAAATTGAATTTAATTTACCTAATTTATATTTAAAGAAATATTTAATTTAATGCACAATTTATAAAAATCAAAAACTTGTTTTTCAAAATCAAATGTTTTTATATAATTTATATATAATTTATTGCATAATCAAAAACTGATATACATATATTTTATTTATATGTAATTTGATGCATATAATCTGATACATATTTCTATTAATTACACATAATATGATACATATTATCTGATTCTGCATAGTTGCTGTTATATTTGGCTATATATATAACTTATATGTAATTGAATGCATTATTTATTCAAATGAAAGACTGAATCTTTATACCTAATATATTTATATTTAATTTAATGCATAATTTATAAAAATCAAAAACTGAATGTTTTTTTATAATTTATATATAATTTGTCTAGATTTTATTTAATGCATAATATATAAAAATAAAAAAATGAATCTTGTTATATAGTTTATAATTTGTTTAGATTTAACTTATTGCATAATAAATCAAAAACTTAATCTTTTTTACAATTTACTTATGTTTTAATGATATAATTTATATGTAATTTAATGCATTGTTTAAATATAGTTTATTTAAACATGTACATAATTCATATATAACTTAGTTATATGTAATTTAATGCATAATTTATAAACTCACAAACTGGATTCAGTTTTGATTATATAACACTGAGCCGTAACCACACAAGTGTACTATTAATAAACATTAATACTGTGTAGGTTTTCCACAACCAGCTGGCGAGAGTCATTTAACAATCCAGGTGTTATTTCAAACATTAAATGTAATTTAATATTGATAAAATGTGATATAATAAATGTACATAATTAATAATTTATTGTTAAATTGCATCATTATGTGATGTAACTGTAATTTTTTTTTTTTTTTTTTTTTTTTAAATAGCCCATGCGTTGTTTATAATGAAGTTTATGGGTAATATTAGAAAAACAGAAAAAGATTAATTAAAATTATGTATAATTATATATATTCTGTAATAATAAAAACCACAGTTACTTTCCATATACAAATATGCCATCAAAAGTTTGGTGTCAGTAGTATACGATTTTTATTTAAAAGAAAGTAATACGTTTATTCAGCAAGGATGCATTTTAATTGATCAAAAGTGACAGTAACGACATTTATAATGTTACAAAAGATTAAATTTAAAATAAATGCTGTTCTTTTGAACTTTCTATTCATCAAAGAATCCTGAAAACAAATGACCACAAAAATATTTTAAACATTAATAATAATGTTGAGCATCAGATCCTCATATTAGAGTGATTTCTGAAGGATCATGTGACACTGAAGACTGGAGTAATGATGCTGAAAATTCAGCTTTGATCACAGGAATAAATTACACTTTACTATATATTCACATAGAAAACAGATGTTCTAAGCTGTAATAATTTTTCACAATATTACTGTTTTTACTGTATTTATTTGATCATGTAAATGATCAAATAACTGTGATTTTGTATAAGTACATTTCTGAAATGCATTACCTCTGATAATAACAGATTACTCTAAATCGTAACGTGGACTGCTTTGAAATGATGTGTATTGTGAAAAGCGCTATACAAGTAAATGTGAATTGAATTGAATGTAAATGGTGCGAGGTCCTGTGTACCTGAGAGTGTGTGTCCGGTGTCCTCTCTATAGGCCAGTCAGCGTCCCGCTCTCGCTCTCGCTCCTGATCCTGCTCTCTCTCTCTCTCCCGGCTGCGTTCCCGGTCCCGGCTGCGAGTGCGATGTCTGCTGCCCTGGTGTCCGTACGAGCGCGACGACTTCTGTATCAGCACCGGATCCGGGCCGTCGCTCGGCACCTGACCAATCACACGCGGTACAGAGCTGTCAATCATACACACGTTTAAACATTACAACTAACAGCCAAAATAACAGAGAGCGACAGCCCAGGAGAGAAGCGTAATCGTTTGTTCTAACATGGGTGGATTTTTACAAATATTCTGATTCTTCTTCTTAAAGGTGCAGTGTGTAAGTTTTAGTGGCGTCTAGTGGTGAGGTTGTGAATGGCAACCAACAGAAGTTACGGTGGCCGACAGGAAGTGATGTCGTCGTCTGAGACAGCAGAGAGTAGCCAGTTAAGCAATGAGGATTCTTTACAAAGATTAATTAAGAAATTAGGTTTACGTCATTAATCAGTAAAACAATGTTAATGTGAATATTATTGTTACTTGTTCATCATTGTGTCAGTGTTTTATTCGCTGACTTTAGCAGCTTCTTTACACGAAGAACAACATAGTGATGAAACGCGTTTGTCCGCTCAGGGCCACCGTAGAAACATGTCGATGTAAGCAGACCCGCGGTGTGTGTAGAGAGAAACGCCTCATTCTAAGCTAATAAAAACATCACGGTTCATTAAGTAAGGTCTTTATACACCACTGAACACATAGTTATGTATATGATATTGCATTTCTGTCAACAGATCCTCCTAAATATTACACAATGCACCTTTAATATGACTTTTTATTATGATGAGGATTATCATTATTATTATGAACCAGATTAGACACTGATGGCGTCATCATATTCACCATCACCAGATCCAAGAAATCTGATTCCAGATTCCAGATGACTCCGGATAAAATCATTCCACCACTTTATTCAAAATGTTTTAAATTCAATTCAAGGTTATTCATATAGCGCTTTTCACAATACTTTTCAAAGCAGCTTTGCAGAAATTTACAGCTTTGTGTTTTTTATTATTGAACACTTGAACTAGTTTACCCTGGGTTGTGCTAACCCTGCTTCTACATTACAAGTGTGAAACGGTCCTTTACCCGGGGTTAAAAGCGGTGCTAACCCTGCTTCTACATTACAAATGTGAAACGGTCCTTTACCCGGGGTTAAAAGCGGTGCTAACCTTGCTTCTACATTACAAGTGTGAAATGGTCCTTTACCCGGGGTTAAAAGCGGTGCTAACCCTGCTTCTACATTACAAGTGTGAAATGGTCCTTTACCCGGGGTTAAAAGCGGTCCTAACCCTGCTTCTACATTACAAGTGTGAAACGGTCCTTTACCCGGGGTTAAAAGCGGTGCTAACCTTGCTTCTACATTACAAGTGTGAAATGGTCCTTTACCCGGGGTTAAAAGCGGTGCTAACCTTGCTTCTACATTACAAGTGTGAAACGGTCCTTTACCCGGGGTTAAAAGCGGTGCTAACCTTGCTTCTACATTACAAATGTGAAACGGTCCTTTACCCAGGGTTAAAAGCGGTGCTAACCCTGCTTCTACATTACAAGTGTGAAACGGTCCTTTACCCGGGGGCAAAAGCGGTGCTAACCTTGCTTCTACATTACAAGTGTGAAATGGTCCTTTACCCGGGGTTAAAAGCGGTGCTAACCCTGCTTCTACATTACAAGTGTGAAACGGTCCTTTACCCGGGGTTAAAAGCGGTGCTAACCTTGCTTCTACATTACAAGTGTGAAATGGTCCTTTACCCGGGGTTAAAAGCCGTGCTAACCTTGCTTCTACATTACAAGTGTGAAACGGTCCTTTACCCGGGGTTAAAAGCGGTGCTAACCCTGCTTCTACATTACAAATGTGAAACGGTCCTTTACCCGGGGTTAAAAGCGGTGCTAACCTTGCTTCTACATTACAAATGTGAAACGGTCCTTTACCCAGGGTTAAAAGCGGTGCTAACCCTGCTTCTACATTACAAGTGTGAAACGGTCCTTTACCCGGGGTTAAAAGCGGTGCTAACCTTGCTTCTACATTACAAGTGTGAAATGGTCCTTTACCCGGGGTTAAAAGCGGTGCTAACCCTGCTTCTACATTACAAGTGTGAAACGGTCCTTTACCCGGGGTTAAAAGCTGTGCTAACCTTGCTTCTACATTACAAGTGTGAAATGGTCCTTTACCCGGGGTTAAAAGCGGTGCTAACCTTGCTTCTACATTACAAGTGTGAAACGGTCCTTTACCCGGGGTTAAAAGCGGTGCTAACCTTGCTTCTACATTACAAGTGTGAAATGGTCCTTTACCCGGGGTTAAAAGCGGTGCTAACCTTGCTTCTACATTACAAGTGTGAAACGGTCCTTTACCCGGGGTTAAAAGTGGTGCTAACCTTGCTTCTACATTACAAGTGTGAAACGGTCCTTTACCCGGGGTTAAAAGCGGTGCTAACCTTGCTTCTACATTACAAGTGTGAAATGGTCCTTTACCGGGGTTAAAAGCGGTGCTAACCTTGCTTCTACATTACAAGTGTGAAACGGTCCTTTACCCGGGGTTAAAAGTGGTGCTAACCCTGCTTCTACATTACAAGTGTGAAACGGTCCTTTACCCGGGGTTAAAAGTGGTGCTAACCCTGCTTATACATTACAAGTGTGAAACGGTCCTTTACCCGGGGTTAAAAGTGGTGCTAACCCTGCTTCTACATTACAAGTGTGAAACGGTCCTTTACCCGGGGTTAAAAGCGGTGCTAACCTTGCTTCTACATTACAAGTGTGAAATGGTCCTTTACCCGGGGTTAAAAGCGGTGCTAACCTTGCTTCTACATTACAAGTGTGAAACGGTCCTTTACCCGGGGTTAAAAGTGGTGCTAACCCTGCTTCTACATTACAAGTGTGAAACGGTCCTTTACCCGGGGTTAAAAGCGGTGCTAACCTTGCTTCTACATTACAAGTGTGAAATGGTCCTTTACCCGGGGTTAAAAGCGGTGCTAACCTTGCTTCTACATTACAAGTGTGAAACGGTCCTTTACCCGGGGTTAAAAGTGGTGCTAACCCTGCTTCTACATTACAAGTGTGAAACGGTCCTTTACCCGGGGTTAAAAGTGGTGCTAACCCTGCTTATACATTACAAGTGTGAAACGGTCCTTTACCCGGGGTTAAAAGTGGTGCTAACCCTGCTTCTACATTACAAGTGTGAAACGGTCCTTTACCCGGGGTTAAAAGCGGTGCTAACCTTGCTTCTACATTACAAGTGTGAAACGGTCCTTTACCCGGGGTTAAAAGCGGTGTTAACCTTGCTTCTACATTACAAGTGTGAAACGGTCCTTTACCCGGGGTTAAAAGTGGTGCTAACCCTGCTTCTACATTACAAGTGTGAAACGGTCCTTTACCCGGGGTTAAAAGCGGTGCTAACCTTGCTTCTACATTACAAGTGTGAAATGGTCCTTTACCCGGGGTTAAAAGCGGTGCTAACCTTGCTTCTACATTACAAGTGTGAAACGGTCCTTTACCCGGGGTTAAAAGTGGTGCTAACCCTGCTTCTACATTACAAGTGTGAAACGGTCCTTTACCCGGGGTTAAAAGTGGTGCTAACCCTGCTTATACATTACAAGTGTGAAACGGTCCTTTACCCGGGGTTAAAAGTGGTGCTAACCCTGCTTATACATTACAAGTGTGAAACGGTCCTTTACCCGGGGTTAAAAGCGGTGCTAACCTTGCTTCTACATTACAGGTCCTTTACCCGGGGTTAAAAGTCGGTAAAGTGCAGTGTGAAAAGCCCTAAATACAATTTACATATCACTTTACAATAAAGAGTTATTTTTTGAATTTCGGAAATGAGAAATTGGGGAGAAAATGTTTTTAAATATCATAAATTATGTCAAAAAATCATACAAATTATTTATTTCTTTGTATGTACAACATACATAAATAAAAACAGTGTAGGTTTCTTCTGATTTTGGGGGAACATGATTTCATCAGTTTCATCCTCATGTATTTAGTCTGTTTCTGTGGATTTGCTTAATCAAAATCAAATGAAAAATTCTTTCACATGCAAATCACAGAATGCAAATATGAAGTCATGCGTCCATCATTTGTGGAGTCAGTCTCAGATTACTGATGACATTACAGATCTGACAACCAATGAGGAGACAAATACCTAGCCCACTTCAACATAGCCGATTAGTGTTGTTAATTCATGCAGCGAGATTAGCGGTTTAGTTGGCGGCGTGTTAGAGGCGTATGTATGGAGACTGGTGTATACCATGGGTGTGGCCACTAGGGGACGCACTCTCTCAGAGGAGCTCCTCGTGAAGCTCCTCTGAGAGTGAAAAAGAGGAAAGAGGGCTTTTCTCATGACTGGAACTTGCTCTTCAGTGTCTGTCTGCAATACAAGAGACACAAAACTCACACTGAGACTCAATACTGGAGATCTGCCACCCGACTCCACTGTTCATGATGTCTTTCTGTCTGATTACGGTTTACAATGAATTATTACAAATAAAATAATAAATTAAAAAAAATAATTTTAAAAGGGTTCATATCATGATGAATCCAATCAAATGGTGTTAGTTAGTTTTTATTGGTATATTTTCCATTTACATTTTAGTGACATTTTTAGTAATTATTTGTTTCTTTTAGTGAAGTATGTCTAAATGGTTTTTAGTTATTTTAGTAATTTGAGTAAAAAATAGAGATTTTGCCTTGGCAACTAGCTGAAATAAAATAAGTATATTTTTTAAATTACGTTTCATTTTATTTCAGTTAATGTTTATTTTATTGAAAGTAAAGACCTTTTTTTTTGTTTTTTTTTTTTGTTAACAATAATAACCCACAAAAAAAGTGAGATTTTAACTCTCTAGAAACAATTTAATATTGATTAGGGTTTATAATTAATCATAAAAATTATTCAAAAAATGTTGTTCAAAAGTTTCATATAATGACAAATCCAATCTTTTTGAACATTCCTCACACAAAGCTATCATATGACTTCAAAAGATTTGGAATAGAATAGAATAGAATAGAATAGAATAGAATAGAATAGAATAGAATAGAATAGAATAGAATAGAATAGGACTTTTATGGTGGTTCTATGCTGCTTTTTGGAGATTTACAGATCTTGTCATAGAAAAGATCAGCGTGAATATTCTACATTTCTGCTGTTTCTACAGAAAGCAATAACAGCATGCGTGTTTGTAATGAAATAAGGTGAATAAATAAAAACAGTCGGTTTAAAATATCAGAGTAGCGGTTGAGTCGGGCGACAGACTCTCGTTTACAGACCGGATTTAAACTCTACTATTCACTCACACACATTCACCTGTGATACATTAAACACACACACACACACACACACACACACACACACTCACGGTTTGTGGCTTCTTCTTCTTCTTCTTCATGGATCTGAAGAAGCCTTGTTTCTCTTTCTCTTTGGTGGGTTCAGGAGGGCTCACGTCCAGCGTCTCAGACCCCGTCCTCATCAAACAACACACTTACAATGTCAATAAAACTGATGCTTACAATCTGGCATTATATTATAATATTATTTCTATTAATATTTTGAATTAGTTTCCGTTTTATATTTTCCGTTTTTGTTTGAATTTCAGTTAAAGTGTTTGTAATGTTTTTGTGTATCTGTCATTTCAATTAGTTTTTTTTATTTGTTATATATATATTGTTTGAATAAATTTTTCAGTGTTAGTTTTAGTTATTTTTTTAAGTTATATTTTTTATATTAAGTTATTATATTTAGTAAGTTGCTGCTGCAGTTCACTTAACGGCCACCGGTGTCGCTAATAATAAGAGTTTCTGAATTCTACATATCGCCTCTTTAAACTAAAAGAAAATTACAAATGTTGCCTTGGCATATTTTTTTTAATATATTATTTTATTTCAGTTAACATTTTATTTTGAGTAACAAAAATGTTTTTAAGTGTTTTTAGTTAATAATAACCCTGCAAACTGCTCAACCTACAGATTTTAACTTAATAGAAACAATCAGTTTTTATATATATATTCTGACTCACTTCCTGTTTGACTGTCTAAGGTTTTCAAGAGTCAGAAAAATGCCTTTATTGCATAATTTCTACTAAATTAAAAACATTTAATTAATTTATTTATTCCTTGATTTGATTATTCCAAGCACTGGAAACTTATTATATATTGTTATCAGAGAAAATGTTTTGATTTAAATAAAATTTTGGTGGAGCCAAATAATAGTAGTAGTATATATATATTTTAAATGCAACATATTTACAGAAGATGAAAAACAGAGAGTGTGCGTGCTTCATCCTCACCAGGGGTCATAGGTCGGTTGGTGTATGTTGTGGCTGTTGTCTATCGTGACCCCTGAACTCTCGTGGAACGAGTTATCAGGTCTGGGTGACGGCACTGGTGAAAACACAAAAACATCAGCATATAGAGGAAACAGTGAGACCTGGAACCAGTGACCTTCAAAAATAAAGTGTTACAAAAAGCGATATCGCACTGTTAAAATGCATAAAATAACTATTGCATCACTTCTCACTTGCTCTCTCTTCCAACAACAGTTTTGTTTCTTTTTATTCAAAGTGCTATTTCTTTTGCTGTTGTTTTTTGATTGTCCTCTCAATACAGTTTGCATGCATGACTATATTGTGAATATATATAATGACTATATTGCAGTAAATACTGCAGTTTTCTTGATTATAATGGGAGCACTCCTTGGACACTGTGTCGAGCGCTGTAAGACTACAGTACGGGGAACAGAGAGGTTTTCAATTGCATTTGTTAATACGTCAATTAGAAAACATAATAAAATAAAACATGTCACCCTAAACGTTAAATGTTCAAATTAGTGCTGGGCAACGATTAATCGCATCCAAAATAAAGGTTTGTGTTTACATAATATATGTGTGTGTAGTACTGTGTATAATTATTTTTTATATATAAATACACACATATGCATGTATACATTTAAGAAAAATGTGTTATATATATATACACTGAACAAAATGATAAACGCAACACTTTTGTTTTTGCCCCCATTTTTCATGAGCTGAACTCAAAGATCTAAGACTTTTTCTATGTACACAAAAGGCCCATTTCTCTCAAATATTGTTCACAAATCCGTCTAAATCTGTGTTAGTGAGCACTTCTCCTTTTCCGAGATAATCCATCCACCTCACAGGTGTGGCATATCAAGATGCTGATCTTGGAGGAGAAGATGCTGGATGTGGAGGTCCTGGGCTGGTGTGGTTACACGTGGTCTGCGGTTGTGAGGCCGGTTGGATGTACTGCCAAATTCTCTGAAACGCCTTTGGAGACGCTTATGGTAGAGAAATGAACATTCAGTTCACGGGAAACAGCTCTGGTGGACACTCCTGCAGTCAGCATGCCGATCGCACACTCCCTCAAAACTTGCGACAT